GGGCGCGGGACGGCTTGGGGATTTGGTCAGAAACGGGGTGGGTGGGGGAACCTCTAACGAGCTCCCAGCGAGGGCAGTGGCATAAACTGGGGAAGCATCCAGGCCACGAGCGAGGGGAACTGAGATCTCTGAACTCTCCCGTGGTGTGTCAGGGTCTGTTTGAGAAAAGGCCTCCTTCCTCCTCCTCTTCCTCAGGCTGAGGGCCCGCTCCCCTCCCTCGTGGGCTGCTCCGCCGAGGATTTATTTTACGGATTCTGCCAAAAGCAGGCCACGAGGTCTCAAATTAGGAACGAGCCCCCTTTGGGCAAAGTTGTTACAGAAAAGGGAAAGGCCTCCATTTTCACTTTCACCTGGCCGACCCCTCCTTCGCCAGCATAGTCCTAAAGCTGAGCTGGGACCGCGCGGGCGGGGGGAGCCGGTAAGAGGAAAGTGTTTCCCCGGAAAGCTGCACGCCTTTTTCTTGAACTTTCAGACTTTATAAGCTCCGTCCATCGAGACGCGCCGCCCTGCGCCCTAGCCCGGCCCGTTACGCCGTGGCACTGTCGGGGTTTTAGCAAATGAATTTACCTTGTGATTTTTCTCACTGACGAAACGGGCGCGCATTCCTCCGCTTTTCCCCCCTGCTCCTTCCGTGTGTGTACGAGGTGCTGCCTGCGGAGAAGCCTTCCTCGTGCAGTCACTTCCTAGAGGTGATGGACGCCGCGGTTGCCCAATGGCAGCGCGAAGGGCTGCGCGGCACCGGAGTTAACTCTGCTCGCACCCGGCGGAGGTGCCGGACGGTCGTCTGGCAGCAACGGGGCGATTGCCGCAAGATCGGGGCGTGCGGTGACTCTCGCCGTCGGGACACCCTGCCCGCTTCTGCGGGCTCTGAGCATGTCAGGGCTTTGTACCTGAGCCCTGTTAGATGTTCCTGGCAGGATTGCGCCAGGCTCGTACCCTCCTTTGCAAGTGTTTCTGAACCAGAGGCAGAAATTCATGAGCGTTTTTTTTTTTTTTTTTTTTTGCTTGCCTGTCAAGGACAGTGTGCTTTGTCATGTTTTATCTCATTTCTGCGCCGTCGCCTGCCTCGGCAATCTGTTGCGGCAAGGAGTTCGGTACCGCTGTGTGCCTCCTGAAAGGGAAAAATACAGATCGGCTTGATACACTCTTGTTTCCATCAGCATTGGAAGATGATTAATGGTGTGGAATGCGCTGCAGAACTTGGTATTGAAAATCTCTAGCTGTGTGAGATGTTTGGGAAGCGAAGAAAGGACAGCTGGGAGCGCTGGCCCCCGCGGCAGTCGGGGTTTGTGGGATAAGCTCGCTCTCTGATCATTTTTGTAAACATCCAGCTGTGAAATACTTGAGCAGCGCTAGCACTTTCAGTTACCCAGAAGTTTCAGGCTCAGCACCCTGTAGAGATGATCAGGCAGTTTCCACTTCTGTCTGAGCTATTGTTTCAGGCTGTCTTCAAACTCCGGCAGAGAGCCTTCCAAGAACAAACCGAGCCCAAAGCGGTGCAGCGCTCTGTGACCATCAGCACAAGAACTGAGGGGGGAAAGGCAGTAACGAGAGCGATTACCCTGCCGCCGAGCTCCCGGGCGGAGGGACAGGTTGTGTAGTGAATCCCACTGCTTTGCGACATTGCAGGTCCCTGAATAGTGATGCCGTTATCTTCCACTGTTAGCAGTGGGTGAAGAGGTCTGACTCGGTGGCTGGCATGTGGGGTCAGAAGCAGCGAAGTTAGGAATCCCGGCTCTGCCCTGGGATCTGTCTGTGCGTCCGAGCGAGTTACTTGTTGCTTGGTGGCTCAGCTTGGCTATCTGGGGGAGATGCATCTCTGGGCTAGTGATGCTGAGGTGTAATTCTGGTGTGGCTCTGGCACTGTGTTTTATAAGCGCATGGTGGAAAAAGTGCTGTGTGCTTGTCAGTACCGGGGCTGCCTGCCCCATACCTTTCCCCTTCAGCCACCTCCTCCGTGAATTTTCTGAGGTGGCACGCAAGCGTACCCTCCTGGTACTCTGTATCCTCTGCTCCTAACCACAGGCTCTCTGCAGCATCTGAGTAGGTTGTTTACCAAACCACTGAAGACTGTCTGATCCGTGTCCAGGCTTCCCCAGAGAGCGCCTCAGAGAGCCGTGTCCTGGCAGCTCTCAAATGCGCTCTGAAGGTTCCTGAATCTCCTCTTTGCTGCTGGATGCTGGTTCCGATCCATAAGGGAAACGGAAAGCTGGCCAGCTGGGCGAGGGCTGCGTGGAGCTCCTCTAGAACAGTAAACAGTGACTCACCCCCTCCTTGTGTCTTCTCTCTCTTCATGTCAAATATATTGCCTCGCATATGCTTCTACTCTCTGATTCACACCACCAGCCCGTCCCTCCCCGCTCTCATTACAAATGAGTGACAAGCGTCAGTCTGCCTTACAGGATGTGTGAAGATTGTCAGAGCAGGAGAATGGCTTTTTGAATGATGGAGAGAGGGATGGTGCTCTGCCTACCATGCTGCAATGTGCTGGGAATCCGTGTCGTGCCTCCGAGCGGCAGAGGCACGGCGACAAAGATTTAAGCATCTGTGGTTCCCTTCACCTGTCAGCTCTCATGTTATCCTTGGTAGGCACATCTGTTTGGCTAGCGCTCTGGAGCTGGGAATAACTTGCGGATAAATGAGAAAATTTGGATAACTTGACTGAAACGGCTGCCTGGGAATTAAATCGTCGCGTTTGGGAATGAGTAGAGTGTTCCCTGCGTAACTGTCGGTGCTGAATCGAGACACAGAGATCCCCATCGCTGCTTGAGCCTTACGCTGGTTTTCTGCCCCCTGGAAGTCATCGCTGGCCTGGCTGAAGGTGAGGGTTGCACGTTTTCAGTTTGCTGTATGTGTCTGAGGATGGAAGCTCAACACCAGCAGGGCCGTCTGCCAGCCACTCGTGTTCTGGCCGGGGTTTGTCTTTCAGCGTAGAAAGAGTTTTAAAATCCGAGTTTATCCACAGTTGTCAGGTGTCGGCAGTGACTTTATAGTAATTCCGTGATGCGCGTTGAAAGCCCTGTAGCGTGGAAAGTCTGAAATCTCATTCTGGCATGTTTTCTTTCTTAATTGCAAGCCTTGTGTGGAAAGCTCTGTCCTACCTCTGCCTGAGTCAGGCTTTCTGCCGTCTTCCCCTTTCAAAGGAAAGGAACTGGGGATCTGTAGGCGGTCCACGGTGAGACCATCAGGCTTGGGATGTCAGCCGGAGACCTCCAGGTTTTTGGGAGGATGCTGCAAGAGGCATAGGAGTCGTCTGGGAGAGGGCGTTGGCAGGGCTGTCAATGGGTAACTTTATTGCAGGATTACAAGGGCTCTTTATGTAACCCACAGTCAAAACACTCGCTTTAAATACAAGCGTGGAGCTGCACTGGGAAAGCCTTTGCCCCTTACAGTTGGTGTATTACTACTCGACACTTTATTTATGTAGCGTTCGAAGTGTGTCGTACTGCTTACAGAATGGAGATGTAATGCGGTCCTTGTTCCAAAAAGCCGAGCTCCTAATTTTAGACGTGATGCAGCAAACGCAATTAAGAAAAGAAGGGCAGGAATAGGGTAAAGACTAAAAGGGTTCTAGTAATCAAATTGCAGGCAGGGTCCCAGAAGACCCCTGTGTGGCATGTTTAGTGAATGCTGCTGGATATGACACGTTTGCAGGATGGTTTACGGCTTTTGTTGTGGGGTATTGCCTTCTAAACTGTGGGAGATGCTGTGCCGATCTTAATTGCTTGTTGTTGGTAGCTGAATAATCCCAAATAGTCCTGATGAGAAGGATTTTGTAGGTGGGGAGGTGGAGACAGAGCCCGAGGCCCTGGAGGACTGTTGGTGAGGGTTGCGAGTGTTGTTGTATTGGTTTCGAGCGGAGCCCGGACCACACCTGTGGGTTTACCTAGTGCAGAGATAAGGCTTGCGCTGGCACTCGTGTCTGAGTGTGAGATTTGAGCTTCTCCGAGCGTTTCTACTCGCACTACCAAATCCCGCCCTTGGGGTCGGGGCGGACCCCCATCTCCCACCAAGGTTTGAAGAGGGCCCGGTGTCACAATTCCTGACAGTGCCCTGAACCTCCTTGCTCATCTCTGTGCCAGCGGCAGCCAACTTGGCACATGGCCCCTGGTGCAATAGGATGGATCCCGGCCCATCTCAGAGCGATGCTGGCCCATCCAGGGTGCTTGGGGGTGCAGGGGGAGACGGGCGCGCAGCACAAGGTCCCCTACCCTGTGTGAAGGCGTCTGTGCCGTCCTCCAAGGAATGTGCAGGGTAAGGAGATGTTGCTTTGGCGACACGGAGCAACAGGTGACCAGAAGGGGTTTTGTCACGTGGAGCTGGAGCATTGCTCGGGGTGGCAGGCGAGCCCGCGCACTGACCCCCACCGGAGGCAACCTGGCCCCTCGGCTCTTGTTTTCCACGATATTTTACATTTCTTTCCATCTCCGTGCAGCCAAACGGCCCTGTTCAGTTTTTCCATCGGCTGGCGTAGCAAGCGCTTTGAAGACGCGCTGGGTGAGGATCAAAAGGGTTTTTGTGTAATCGGTGGGTGTGACGGGTCTGTCGTCGGCCTCCCCCTCCTTTCTGACTTTCCTTTTCCGGTTTTAGCAGCGCGGAGTGCCGCCAGCGGGACGGCAGCGTGCCCCTTTCCTTGTAGGGATGGGGGCGGCGAGGGAGGGGGGGATGCCGAGGGAAGGAAGAGTTTCTGATGCTGTGGGAATGTGAGCTCTCAAACTCTGTAAACAGCTGGTGACTCACTGCATAACTATGGCACCAACTGCCTGTGCGGCCGCCGCGCGCTCTGCGTCTGCAGGGAGGGGGCTGCCGGACGTTTCCTTTACGCACTGGCAGCGCCTCTGCTCTCCTGAACTCGCCGGGACCGTTTGACCGAGACGAGGAGCTTGTTCCTTCCTCCTCCGTGCTAGCGCCTACGTCTGCGCCTCTGGCCTGGAGGTAGGGGTGGGCGGCGAGCGCCTGGTGCGGAGGGGAAGCGATGGATGGCAAATGGGCAGTGCTGGGGTCTGAAGAGGTGCCTGTGGTCACAGGAGATCCTGCCCGCCTGCAGTCAGCCCTCCTGCAAAACACGCAGTGTGGCAGCAGCCAGAGGTCGGGCACATCCCTGTCCCTCGGAGGAAGCTGCTGGGGACTGGGACTTGCTCCCCTGCCCCGTGCCCAGCCCACTCCGGCTCAGAGGAGGGGAGGGAAGGACTCAGTGATGCTCTAGAAAACGCAGCGCACACCAGTTGCTGTAAGTGGTCCATTCATCACAGAGCATCTTGGCTTGTGCGCTGTGCGGCTGTCCTTGTCCCTCCTCCAGACATGGAGAGCTGTGCTGTCTCAGGCTTAAAAATAGAGGAGGTGCCTAAATACACTCCCTAATATCTAGGATAGTATCTCACAGCTTTGCACTTACGGGATTATTCCCCCCCCCCACCCTGTTCCTCATCTTGATTTTTACGTAAGTCGTGTGACGATGAGGTGTCTCGACGGATAAAATTCAAGTGACAGCAGCGCGGGCTGAGCCAGCACCGTCACCCACACGGCTCCCGCTGGTCCCCGCACCCCACCTTTATGCCCCCCTCCCCGAATCCCGCCACCCTCTGTTTGCAGATATGAATGAGTTTGTTTACTCTCCGACGACCTCGTGATGTCTTTGCACAGACATGACCTGAAGTCATTATTGCTTTTGGGCTTCTCTGTTTCCATGGCGACTGTCTCCGGGTTGGCTACTTTCCCAAGGTCACCATGGCAACTATCAGAAGGGAATCATGCTTGGGATGCTTTGGCTGGATTTTTCATGAATGATTAGGATGTGTGACACGATGCAGACGTGGAAATGGGGA